AGATATTCTAATGAAATCGAATTTAGAAATCAGAACAAAAAAGAAAAAAAACTTTAGTTATTTATTGAATAAAGCTTTCTTTTTTTTTAAAGGAATCTCTGAAGATAATGTGTAGAAACATTGATTTTTTTGTACTTTTATATGAATAGTGTATGCTAAATATGCATAGGACTATTTTTGAATAGTTTTGTTTTCAATATTCTTTTTAATTGTCAACGTTTTTCTGTTCGAATAAAATTACGTATATAGTTAAAAGAATATCTGATGAGAAAAGGCAACGATAGAAGTCTATTCATCCCTTTCGACTTACAAGAGAAGATTTTCAATTGATCTATGCAATTTTCACTGATGTTTTGAATACATGTGAAAGACTTTAGTGTAAGAGAACGGTGAAGTAGATTTAAGTTGATGTACCTTCTTTCAATCGATATGAATATATTTATTCTATCATGAAGTGCGAGAAATTATATGAATAAACTTCGTATAACTCATTATAAGAATCAGTACCTTATATCCGCGCGAAGAACGATTGAAATCTTTCGAAATTTTATATTGCCCTCGTACAAGAGAAAATCTGCATAGAACATTATGTCAATTCTTCACAAATTGCAAGTCTACATCATGAACAGAAATGAATATGAATGAAACTAAAACAATAGCATTCTGGTCAAAAATTATAATCCTTTTACTGAATTTTTCATTGCTAGATAGATTTCTTGAAAAACAAAATTGGAAGTAAAAAATTGCTATCTAAAGTTTTTGCAAACCGATATTAGAGTATCTTGAAATTTTCACCAAAAATGAATGTTTTTTTTGTTGTGTTAAGGTGTTTCTCCCATAAGTTTTACAAATTTTCTATTGATCTCATTTCTCTCTTAATATGAGATTAAAAGAATTAAAATCAGCCTAATTCTTCTTAGGCCTTTTCTTAGAATAACCTCCTTGATATGTAAATAAAATATTAATGAAAATTACATAGATCACTTGAAGATCTTTCCTTGTTAGTGTAAATTTTCTATTAATGAATATTTATTTCGATTTGTTTTTACATAATTCTATTATATTAGGTATTGTATTTTTGGATGAAGTTGATAAAATTGGTAGTGTACCAGGTATTCATCAACTTCGAGATGTTGGTGGTGAAGGTGTTCAACAAGTATATAAAATAATTTATTATTATGAATTAAAATAATTTTTATTTTATTAGGCATTATTAAAAATGCTTGAAGGTACAATAGTAAATGTTCCGGAAAAAAATTCTCGAAAAATGCGTGGTGAAACTGTTCAAATTGATACAACAAATATATTATTTGTTGCATCAGGTGCATATACAGGTCTTGATAAAATAATAAGTCGTCGTAAAAAAGAAAAATATCTTGGTTTTGGTTCAACATCAAATGAAGCACCATCACGTCGTCGTGCAATACAACTTGATTTAGATGAACAACGTGATGATAATGATAAAATGATTGCTGAAGAAAATTTAGAACGTGATAAATATTTACAAGAATGTGAAGCACGTGATCTTATCGAATTTGGAATGATACCTGAATTTGTTGGAAGGTGAATATATCATTAAAATATTCTAGTTGAATATTTAGTTTTTTATTTTATTTATATAGATTACCTATTATTGTTGCATTTCATTGTTTAACTGAAGATATGCTTGTAAGGATTTTAACTGAACCTCGAAATGCTTATGTACCTCAATATCAAGCACTTTTTCAAATGGACAAGGTTAGTTTTTGCTCTTGATTAAAAATACTGGATCGACAATTCAGTGTAACGGTCAAAACTTGAGGATCATGGACATGAACCCTTTTAGAATTGTTCTTGTCTCGCCAAGAACTCTTTATGAATTGAATATACGCTCAAACAATGAGTATCAGTTCGTGTAGTTTTCTTATCAGTTGATGAAAATAACTAATGAGGAAATCTTACATAGTAACCAGTCATATCTATGAGTTTTTTGGAACAACGAACTTGCTCTTCACCGACTCATAATTTAAACTGAATCTTGAGTTCAAACTTTTCATAAACTAAGTGGTTAATTGAAACTCATTTCTTGTACAATATCAAAACTTTTGATTTCATCTATCGTTATACACTAATCTGGAAATTTTTGTTCTAATATTTATATCTGAGCATAATAGATTCTAGAAAGTCTTATAGTTTCAGAAAAAACAACTCTCATCGATAACTTTGTTGACCATATTTTCAGCTGCAACCTTAATTTTGAAGATGATCTAACGCGAATACAGTAACTTTTTGAAAAACTCATATAGAGGAATCCTGTTAGACTTATCTCAATATGACCTTTCTAATCATGTACAATTCTTTTCAACAAAGATTTATAATTGTACAAGATTTCATTGTAAGAATAATGAATATTTCATTGAAGGTTCAGATGAAACTTTATGATATATATAAACTTTTGAAAAATGATTTTAAAAATTTAGGTGCAATTAGATTTTACTGATGGTGCACTTCGATCAATAGCTAAAAAAGCTGTTCAACGTAAAACTGGAGCTCGTGGTCTTCGTTCAATACTAGTTCGTAGTTTTTAAAATCTTCTATTTATTATATAAATAATTAATTTTTTCATAGGAACGTATTTTACTTCAATCTATGTTTGATATTCCCGAATCGGATATTGTCGGTGTTCGTGTTGATGAAGAAGCTGTTAAATCAAATAAAAATCCTGAATATATTCGCTCACGTCCAATAACATCATCTGATGATATTCATGAAAACGCAACAAAACCAAACGAAAAAAGTCCCAAAGAAAATAACGATAATAAAATTTATCTACCAACCGGTTGAAAAAAAATAATACTCAATTTTGTAACAGATTATTATATTTGCTTTCGAGTCTGTTTTTATTTATTTTAATTTTAAATTCTCTTTTCCTATTTATACATATATATATATATATATACATGCATATATAGTCTCCATTGTAAACGAAAATATTTTGTACTTCTCACTTCAATTGATCATTTTTTCAATTCATTTGTGTGATGGGCATATCGCATGTAAATAAGTGTAGTTCAGCAATAAAAATTTTTATTTAAATTAAAGACAAAAATAAAATAAATAAGAGAAGAAACAATAAAAGGAAAGCAAAGAAGAAAAAAAATAATTGATGTTTATGTTTATAAAACTGGACAAGCGACATTGACAGCATAATCACAACGACCAAGAAAGAAATTGTAGCGAAGACCTCGTGGACATGAACGAGAAACAATAATTGCTAAAACAAAATTCAATTACTAATTTCATTAATAAAAATTGATAACAAACCTTTTTCAACACATTCAAAATATTTGCCTTGTGCACAACCATATGCATCAGCATAAAAACCATTATTTGGACATCGAAAATATTCTAATAAAATTAAAAATAAAACTATCTTTTTTCTTTTTTAATAAAATTTTCTTACCAGTTTCACATCGAGAACCTCGAAAACCAGGTCTAAATAAAGAATAATTAAATATATGAAGAATAAAATCAAAATAAACTAACTTGCATAAACAATAAGCAAATATTGATGATGCTGGTGAATGTTCATAACAAGTTCCACCATTATAACATTTACTTGATGCACATCTTGGTGCAACTTTAATTTATAAATAAATTTTATTTCTTTAGTTTTTAAAAGACTAATAAAATATACATAAAAAAAAATCATACCTGTCCTTCGTTCACAATAATCACCATGAAAACCCAATAAACTATTCAAATAGAACTTTATTTAAAAAAGAAAAACATTAACTATACAATAGATGCATACCACCAACATGTAGCATAAGTCGGAGTTAAAATATTACAACTAAAATATTAAAAAAAACAAATTATCAAAAATAAAATCAATTGCTTCAACTTACACGCCACTATTGCGACAGGCTATGTCTCGACAAAGATCAGTACCTAATTGAAATACAAAATTTCTTTTTTTTTTTATTATTTTGAAAATTTCGATTTTACTTCGTGCTATTTCACATCGTGTACCCGAAAAACCACTTGGACATGTACATGTACCCAATATTGGATTACATACACCATCATTTAAACATCCAATAGCACAATATGAAGCTTAAATTTTTAAAATCTTTATTAAATTTTTCGTTTTTATTTTCATCTGTTCACGTACCAACAGCTGTATTTGGATCCGAAGCACATCTATCTGCAATATTACCATCGGGACATATACATCCAAATGTTGAATCAATTACAATACAAATACCATCATCACCACAAAATGAGTGTTCACAAACAGCAATTAAACGACGAGCTAGAAACAAATCATTTGAAAAACAAATATCAGTCAATATTAAATCAACAGACCGTGAATATTAAGTGATGACATATTAGTCTCATGTTCAGTTTCATCGTCTACATTAGTACATGTTGAATTCGTATATGTATCATTGGGACAAACACAAATTTCCGGCATATTTGGTATTTGTGTCTTAAGACATCGTCCACCATTGTCTCCACAATCCAATGAACATTCTGAATATAAAATAAAAATTGTTGTTTTTCTATTTCTTTTTTTTTTCCATGTTTTTACATACTTCCATGAATATATGGACAAATCATTAATATAAGAAATAAGAATATTAGCTGATAATTTAAAAATTTCGATGACATTTCGTTTTGGTTAACTTTACAAACTGCTATGTATGATAAATTTTACCTTCTGAATTTAACTGACAAAAAATATATACCATATTTTTTATTATTGTATTCCACCTACATAAATATAATATGATTATTCAAGGTTGAACAAATTTCTTTTCAATAACATCATAGTAGACAAAATGAACAAATATATTCTTTCCTTGTTAATTTCAAATATAACAACACACAAATATCACCTTCAACAACGATTTGTAATTTCAGACTATCAAGGATAATGACAATATACTTTCAATGATGATGACGATGATGATATTTTAATCCTGTTTATATTATTTCTCCTTTTTTTCTTTATTATTTTAGATATTAGAACATGTGACAGAACTGGCATGATCACAAGACATTTTATTCAAATTAAATCGAAGTCCTTTTGGACAGGTACCAGTCAGAAGACGATCTAAACAAAGAAAAGCAGAAATAAAAACTAATGAAATTTTCCTTAAATGTTTTGTTTTTACTTGTATGATCACAAAGAAAATATGAACTTTGTGCACATTGATATAGATCAGCAAAAACACCTGGTTGTGAACAACGAAAATATTCTAAAACAAAGAAAATATATAAATAAAGATATTGCTAACATATTTCATTGATAATAACCTGTCTCACAGAATCTTCCAGTAAATCCTGGTGGACAAAGACAATAAGCAAAAACACTTATTGCAGGTGAATGTTCATAGCATATGCCGCCATTTTGACATCGAATGTCAGTACAACGTGTAGCAACTATGGTTTTTTTTCGAATAAAAATAATCGATATTTATATTATTCTAAAATATTTTTTATCTAACCTCTTTGTCGTTCACAATAATCACCATGAAAACCTATAATAAATTCATCTCTCAAATAATCTCCATATTACTTTGACTTTGTCTCTTCTTTTTTTTACCTAACAAACACAAACAAGTCGAAACAGTTGGTGAAATTATATTGCACACGCCGGAATTTTTGCATACTACATTATTACACAAAGTAGTTGCTAAAGTATACAAAATTGATACAAATTTAAGAAATAACAATTTTTGTGAATTGTACATTCTAATCTTTCACATTGTTGACCAAGAAAACCTGACGGACAAATACATGAACTTGTAACTGGATCACAAATACCTTGATTATAACATGCACATGCTTTTGAAATTATAGATCTATTATTATTAGCACCTTTATAATTAAATAAATTATTTTATATTGAATATTTAAATTAATTTTTATATATTTATTCATTCTTACTTTGTCCTGAGATAAAATTAATGACTAAATTGCAAATAATAAACAATAATGATCTTTAAATATTATTAAGAAGAAAAAACAAAGCAATAATAAAGTTAAAGTTTAGATCATAATAAAAAATTTACTTACAAAGATAATAGCATATCTTTGACACAAAAAAAATCGATTTTAAACTATACTGTTTTTTTTCTTATTCATATTGGTATTTTTATAGTTAATTTTTTATACGTGTTTAAGTGTAGGCATTTTTAAGATCAAATTTCTCTCGGACTAAAAAACACGAAAACATGCTTTTCTTTTTTTGTCAATATTTTTTGAGTCAGAAAAACAAAACGTTCTTAATTAAAAAAGAATGATTATTACATAGAGATTCTTCTTTTTTTTTAGGAGATTTTTGAAAGGTTAATTGATCGAATAGATATAATTGTTTCTTTTTGCTTTCGCATTTATGACTTATAATGAATTATTTGTTTTTCTTTGTTATAAATCGATTTATTTATTTCTATGTTGATTTTTTGTTTTGATATTTAATAAATTCAGATTTCTATCTTACGAAATATATTCGTTAATTTTCAATAGAATTAATGCAATCTATTGGATAAATTATTAACTTATTACTGAATAATCATAAAACTATTGTATTATCAAAGATGTTTACGATAATATACGTTAGAATAACATCATTGTTTTTATTCTCGAAAATAATAATGACGTCAGATAACCTCGAATTACATAGCTACAAAGCTTATTTTATTCGAACAAAAGTAATCGAACTATATAACAGTAACAATTTCTTTTTGCACTGTATTGACGGCCTATTCAGTTTGTGAACAAAACACATTTGACTTCTTTTCTTATGGTCCAGGGCGTATTTCATTCGCTTTTTCTATCTATCTACATATATCATTATGTTAAGATATGTAGCAAAGAAAGGCAGTCGAGGTCAATTTTAGTCATTCTAGAGAAATTTAAAGAAAGAATGAGTGATATAATCGCCCTCCACCCCCTCGCCATAGTCGAATCAAGAAAGGTCGTGTTATTGTCATTGTTCAGCTTCACTTTGCACACGGACGCAATCTATATCGGACGTAAACGCACGCATAAAACAGACAGAAAAAAATAATAGAGGAAGGATAATTTGTTTATCGTCATTTTCATGCGTATCATCGACATCGACGTCGGTCTTGCATTGAACCCCAAAATGAAACAGGTTGAATTACATAAAATTTTTTATTAATTTCACTAATTATCTAAAATCTTGTTCATAATGTAGGTTCATTTCAAACTACTATTGTGTCTTCTATTGGCAATCGGTGCCACTGGACAATATAATCTCGGTAAAATTTAATTATATGCTTTATCTTTACGGTCAAATTTATTTATTATTTGTTTACTTTTTTTTTTAATTTTCAGTCAATCCATGGAACCTAGGTTTTACTGGACAGCAACTTGCTCTTGGACAACCAGGTATGGGTGATTGGAATGGTTTTTCAGGAATGGGACCCTATGGACGATTCGTACAACAACCAGCTATTGCACCACAAGTCAGTGTTGGTTTAGGACAAGTTAATCCTGCTCAACAAATCTATCAACCAGCAATTACACAACAGGCACAAGTTACTAATACTGAGTAGGTTTTTTTTTATCTATTTAAAAAGAAAAATATGAACTGACTTTTTCTTGATTAGATTAACAAATGGTAATAGTTTAGTTTCATCTGTACCTGATGTTTTTGCTACTGCAAATCGTGGTGATAAACAACGTGTATGCTATAATATTATTGATATGGTTTATCCATTATTCTCTATGTATTGTTCGGTATTACCACAAACAGCATTTTCATTACCAAATTTTTTTGGTCATGAAACAAAAGAAGAAGTACATGAATTATTTGTTGGATTGACTCCAGCAATACGTTCTGGATGTTCTTCATATGTACGTTTATTTTTATGTCCATTATTTTTTCCACCATGTAATGTTAAACCAATACTTCCATGTGCTGATTTATGTAGAAGTAAGAATATTTATTTTAATGTAATATAATTTTTCATCAATTCATTTCTTTTGTTTTTTAACAATAGCTATGCAACATAGATGTGGTGCTTATGGTCTTTCAGGAATTAATTGTGATCAACTACCAGAAAAATCAGAATTTTGTCAAAGTAAGTTTTATATCATTATTGATGAATATTTGAATGATTTTTAATTGTCTAGCTATTATTGATCCAAATCGTTTTATCGATGGTATTTATGGATTTCACGGATCTACAACACAAAATCAACACGGTTCACAATATACTGATTCAAATAATAATGTTGATTTATCCTTAATTCCATCAACATCTGGTTCTTCCAGTAATGAAACTGTACAAACAGAAACTAAAACTAATACATATTACGGAGAAAACATTTCCGGTATTGGTTCTGATGAGTATGTAGTATGGTTTATTTCTCTTTTCATAAATACCGATTGTTTTTCTTCTATAGATCTATTGTCAACATTCAATCAACTCAAACTCCAAAAGTAATGCCGAGCACATCTGATCTTTCAAGAACAAATACTGATGATGCAAACAATCAACACTGGACTAATGTAGATTCATCACGTACATCATTATCTACTGGTGGTGGATCTTTTCATTCAACTAACAATTTCATGAAGCCTAGTAGTTCAAGCTCTGAATTAAATAATATTGCATCAGTACGAGACAGCTCATTTCTCAACAACGGTGCATCAGCATATATGCCAAACAATAACGTTCGATTAGCATATACTAACAATGAGAACTATGGCGATAGATCATCCAATAGTGATACCGCAAAACTTACTGACTCTTCATCAATCGGCAACAATAATAAATATGTTAGTGGATCATCTCATAGTAGCAACACTGTATCAACTGACTCATCAATGTTTGGTAGAAATGACAATCGTGATGAATCATTATCGATTAGCAATGCTAAAAATTATGTTGGATCAAAATTCTCCGATGGTGGATCATCCTTAGGTGATGCTAGCAGATTTACTAGCTCGTCATCGTATGATAAAGATAAAAAATTTGGTGGTGAAATGAAATTCTCCGGCGGTGAATCATCCTTGGGTGATAC